TTCACCATCCACGAGGATGAGCGCGTCAGCTTCGAAGCCAATTTCCGTGCCGTCGCCCGGCTCGCGACGCAGCTGCGCGAGATGGGGGTGGGGAAGGGCGACCGCGTCGCGCTGGCGATGCGCAACCTGCCCGAATGGCCGGTGGTGTTCTTCGCCGCCGTCAGCATCGGTGGGTTCCTCGTGCCGCTCAACGCCTGGTGGACCTCGGGCGAGCTCGACTACGGCCTGCGGGGAACTCGGGCAGCGTGGTGCTGTTCACCGATGGCGAGCGCTACAAATCGGCTCGCCGATGCGCTGACCGGGGCTGCCCGACCTCAAGCACATCGTCGTCAGCCGCGCGCGCGGTCCGCTGGGCGAGGGCGTGCGGCAGCTGGAGGACCTGATCGGCAAGCCCGGCGACTGGGCGGAACTGCCCGACGCGCCGCTCCCCCCGCCAAAGCCCCGCTGGGCCCGACGACGATGCGACGATCTTCTACACCAGCGGCACCACCGGCCACCCCAAGGGCGCGCTCGGCACGCACCGCAACCCATCACCAATATCCTGTCGAGCGGCTATTGCGGCGCGCGTCCCTATCTGCGCCGCGGCGAGATGCCACCCGATCCGACGCCGCGCGTCGGCCTCATGGTGATCCCGCTGTCCTTGTCACCGCCTGTTCGGCGGCCTGATGGGTGCGGTCTTCGCCGGCCACACCACCATCTTCATGCGCAAATGGGATGTCGAGCAGGCGATGGAGATCATCCAGCGCGAGAAGGTCAATCTGACCGGCGGCGTGCCGACGATCGCCTGGCACCCTGCTCGAGCACCCCGCGCGAGCCAAATACGACCTCTCCAGCCTCGAGATGATCGCCTATGGCGGCGCGCCCTCGGCGCCCGAGCTGGTCAAGCGCATCTACACCGAATTCGGCGCGCTGCCCGAAAGGGTGGGGATGACCGAGACGATGGCGACGTCACGCAGCATTCGGCCGAGGATTACCTCAACCGCCCGACCAGCGCCGGCCCGCCCGTACCGGTGGCCGAGCTCAAGATCATGGATGCCGAGGGCGAGCATGAACTGCCCGTCGGCGAAGACGGCGAATTATGGGCCAAGGGGCCGATGATCGAGGAGGGCTATTTGAACAAGCCCGAGGAAACCGCCGAGAGCTTCCGCGACGGCTGGGTGCGCACCGGCGACCTCGCGCGGGTCGATGAGGAGGGTTTCCTGTTCATCGTCGATCGCGCCAAGGACATCATCATCCGCGGCGGCGAGAATATCTACTCGTCCGAGGTCGAGGACGTGCTCTACGCGCATCCTGCGGTGACCGATGCCGCGCTGATCGGCATTCCCCACCGTACGCTGGGCGAGGAACCGGGGGCGGTCGTGCACCTCGCGCCGGGCAAGCAGGCGAGCGAGGCGGAACTGCAGCGATGGGTCCGCGATCGGCTCGCGGCGTTCAGGGTGCCCGTCGCGATCCGCTCCACCAGGGACACGCTGCCGCGCAATGCCAATGGCAAGATCCTCAAGAAGGACCTAAAAGGTTTTTGTTCGCGGAGGAAGCGGCGGCTTAGGCATTATGGGTTCCAGAATGGACCGATTTCGTCCCCCCGGGCTTGCCCGGGGGGCCCGGCAGACATGCTTGCTTCGCGAAGTCGCCTGCCAGCGGGCGGACAAATACGCGGCCATCCCCTACGCGGACGTCATGGCGAATACCGATTCCGGCGATGAATTGGGTTCGCATCACGCCATCACCCCCTCGACCGCAGCCTTCCAGCCCGCCAGCCGCGCATCACGTGCCCTCTACCTTCATCCCCGGCGCAAATCGCTCCACCTTGCCCCGCATCGCCGCGGCTCGTCCACCCCGGCAAAGAGTCCGTACCCGACGCCTGCCAGCATCGCGGCACCCAGCGCGGTGGTCTCGGTGAAGTCCGGCCGCTCGACCGTCAGATCGAGCACATCGGCCAGATCCTGCGCGATCCAGTCGTTGGCGACCATGCCCCCCGTCGATCCGCAGGCTCGACCAGTCGGCGCCGCCCGGCGGCGAAGGCGGCCTTGAGGTCATGGCTCTGGTGCGCCATCGCCTCCAGCGCCGCACGGACCACATGCGCCCCTGGTGCTGGCGAGGCTGAGACCGCTTTATCGCGCCCCCCGCGCTTCGGGCTCCCACCAGGGTGCGCCCAGCCCGGTGAGCGCGGGGACGAAATAGACGCCGCCATTGTCCGGCACCGATCGTGCCAGCACCTCGGTCTCGCCTGCGCTTTCGATCAGCCCCAGCGAATCGCGCAGCCATTTCACCACGCTGCCCGCGACGAACACCGATCCCTCGATCGCAAAAGGTGCGCCGCCCGCCGAGCTGCCAAAGCACGGTCGAGAGCAGCCGGTGCTTCGACGCGGGTTGGCGCTCGCCGGCATTGGTGAGGACCGAAGGCGCCTGTTACCGAACGTCGCCTTGGTATCGCCGGGGTGACAGACAGGCTTGTCCGATCGTGGCCGCCTGCTGGTTCCCCCCGCCATGCCGCAGATCGGGATGGGGCCGCCGAACCCGCGTCGTTTCGCCGAAATCGCCCGGCGCAATCGACGATCTCGGCCAGGGCGGCGGGGGGGGGGCCCGAACAGGTCGATCAGGCCGTCGCTCCACCCGCCGCTGCCAAGGCCCATCAGCAGCGTGCGCGAGGCGTTGGTCGCGTCGGTGATGTGGAGGCCGCCCCGCTTCTCATTGGCCGTCAGCTTCCAGACCAGCCAGCTTTCGACCGTTCCGATCGCCAGCCGGTCTCCGGCCTCGCGCAACTGCGGCCAGTTCGCCATCGCCCAGGCGATCTTGGTTCCGCTGAAATAATGATCGAGCAGCAGGCCGGTGCGCGCCTGCACGCCCGGTTCCTCGCCCGCTTCCTTTGAGTTCGCGGCAGATCGCCGCGCTGCGCCGGTCCTTGCCACACGATGGCGGGCGCGAGCGGCTCGCCGGTGGCCTTGTCCAGAAGACGATCGTCTCGCGCTGGATTGGTGATGCGATCGCGGCGATCCGGTCGGCGCCGCCCGCGGCCTCGACCATTGCGACGGCGCAGCCCAGCGTCTTTTCCCAGATCTCCGCTGCGTCATGCTCGACCAGCCCCGGCGCGGGATAATGCTGCGCCAGCTCGGCGGATCGGCTCGCGAGCAGCGTTCCCATCCGGCGCGAACAGCATCGCGCGGGTCGAGGTGGTTCCCTCGTCGTGACCAGCAGTTTCTCCACCCATGATCGCAGGTTAGCCGGGATTACAAGCCGCGCAAATCGCGCTAGAAAGCCGTTGAAAGGCGGGCGAAACTTGGATCAGCAAGCGGGCAGGGGAGAGCAGGCGTCGGAGACCGGTGCGGTATCGTCGCCCGCGCCGCCGCTACAGCCGATCGTCGCGCCCGCGCACGATACGGAGGCAGAGAATCGCCGCGATCGGCTGCTCGCCGCGCTGACGCTGATGATCGGCGCGGGGCTGTCCTCGCGCTTCCCTTTGCGCTCAAGGCCGGTTCGCCCTTCTTCCTGCCGCTCACCGCCGCGCTGGTCGTCGCGGTCGCGCTGGTCCCGGTGCTGGAGGGGCTCGAGCGGCATCGCGTGCCGACCCCGCTCGCCGCGCTGATCTGCGTGCTGCTGTTCCTCACCGCCGCCAACGCCGCGATCGTATCGATCGTCGTCCCGGCATGGAGCTGGCTGAGCGCGATCCCGAGCGGATCGACAACATCCAGTCGAACGTCCGGCCGCTGATCGACTTCTACGCGAACCTCGAAACCTTCGTGAACAAGACGATCCAGGATTTCGCCCAGAGCCCGATTCGTCCGACCCGCGCCGCGGCCGAGCCGCCGCGCTCGCTGCTCGAGTTCGTGACCACCGCCGCGCCGGCCGCGTTCATCGAGATGTTCTTTGCGATCCTCGTGATCTTCTTCTTCCTGTCGGGATGGACGCGGCTGCGGCGCAAGGCGATCACCAGCCGCACCAGCTTCGGGGGGCGATGGCGACCGCGCGGGTGATTCAGGACGTGGTCGACGACACCTCGGCCTATCTCGGCACGATCACCGCGATCAATGTCACGCTGGGGCTGGTCGTCGCGGGCGCACTGTGGCTGATCGGCATGCCCAGCCCGCTGATGTGGGGCGGCATCGTCACCCTGCCACTACATCCCCTATCTCGGCCGATCTTCGCCGCGCTGCTGCTCGCGCTGGGCGGGCTGATGACGTACCAGGACGTGTGGGCCGCGCTGCTGCCTGCGGGAATCATGATCGCGCTTCACCTGATCGAGGCGAATGTCGTGACTCCGCTGATCGTCGGGCGGCGCCTGACGATCAATCCGATCATGATCCTGATCTCGCTGTCCTTCTGGGGCTGGGTGTGGGGCACGCCCGGCGCGCTGCTGGCGTGCCGCTGCTGATCATCTTCCAGACGGTGCTCAACGCCGCGGGCAAGCCGGACATCGCCGGATTCCTGTTCGAACACGGCACGCTGGTGGCGGGCGGAACGCCATTATCCCCAACTGCGCAAAAAAATCTCGAAAGGGCTGTTGACAGCCCCGAACCCCCCGTCTAGTTGCCGCCCCTCGCAAGGGAAAGCGCTGCGGCGCGGGACTTGAGCGGGTGTAGCTCAGTTGGTTAGAGTGCCGGCCTGTCACGCCGGAGGTCGCGGGTTCGAGCCCCGTCACTCGCGCCATCCTCTTCAGGGATGGCCCCTTGTTTCTCCAGATTTGCACTGCCGCAACCGGCTAACGCCGCTGAGGCGCGAACATGCCTTCGATCGAGAGCCGTCCTGCGCCGATCGTCGCGAAGAGCAGTCCGATCACCACCAGCGCCGCCGCCGGAAAGGCCGGGCGGATGCCGAGCGGGGCATCGACCATCACCAGCGCGACGATGAAGTTGAACGCGCAGATCAGGCCCGCCCAGCGAATCGCGAAACCGGCGATGAAGGCGACACGGTGAGGAACTGCGCATAGACCGACAGCGGGGCCATCAGCCCGGGCAGGGCGAAGCCCTTGACCGTCAGGAACTTCTCGAACTCGGCCATACGCTCGGCGCTGACGATATTGTCCCACACGCCGTAGATCAGGAACCCGCCTATCACGAGCCGCGCCGCCAGCAGTGCCAGATCGGCGCCGCCCGCCAGCTGCGGCAAGGTCAACCAGTTTGCTCCGCTTCCGCCTCATCGCTTGTCCCCTTCTAGGTCAGATCGCCGTCTCCCGGACGCAGCGGGATCGCCGCGCTCTGCTTGTGTACCCGTTTGACGAAGCCGGTTTCGTATCTCCGTACCGCCGGGTCCTGCTGAAACAGCCGCTCGGCAAGTGCGTTATAGTCCGCCATGTCGCGGCGCTGATCAGCACGGCGAGGTCGTGGCGCCCGCGACATCGAGGATCATCTGCACCTCGGGCGCCGCGGCGAGTTTCGCGCGCAACGCCGCGATGCCGCGTTCCTCGGCATGTTCATGCACCTGCACGCTTACCAGGGCGCGCAGCCTCCGGTTGGTCAGCTTCGCCGAGATCACCGCGATATCGGCAGCGATCCAGCCCTCGGCCCGCAGCCGCCGCACGCGACGGGTCACGGCGGAGGCGGAGAGAGGCACCGCCTGTGCAAGTTGCTCGGCGGTCGCCAGCGCGTCCGCCTGCCCGCAGGTTGAGCAGCTGGATGTCGAATGCGTCGAGCTTGCCCATCTTCGCCCTCCGCACCCCTGACTTTGCCGTTTTTCGTCGCATAGCCGGTTCAGATCGCCCGCAAAAGGCGTGTTGGCCGGATAGAACACGCTCTATGTCGAAAGATGGAGAGTGTTGATGCGTAAGCATGTTCTGGCGGTTGCGATACTTGCGGCGGCGGTGCCGGCCATGGCCCAGGCCGCGGCGACGGCCCCCGCTGGCGAAATCGCGATCTATGACGCCGCCGAAGCAAAGAAGGCGGTGGCCAAGCTGGCCGACGAGATCGAAAAGACGTTCGTCTTTCCCGACGTCGCCAAGCGCTATGCCGCCGCGCTGCGCGCCAAGCTTGCTGCCGGGGGTTATGACGGGTTCACCGATAGCGTCACCTTCGCCCGTGCGGTAACGGCGGACCTTCAGGCGGTGGCGCCTGACGGCCATCTGGCGATGTTTCTGGATAGCGGTCCGTCGCCTCAGCCGCGGGCCGCTCAGGGAGGCGCACCGGTAGCGCCGCCGCCCGCGCCGATGGAGCGGGCCGGGATGATCGCGCCCGGTATCGCCTTCGTCCGCTTCAACGGCTTCTACGGTCAGCCCGAAACGCTGAAAGCCTTCGCCGAATTCCTCGACCGGACTGCCGGGGCGAAGACCCTCATCATCGACGCGCGCACCCATCGCGGCGGCGGGCTCGAGGAAATGGACGTCCTCTTCCCGCGCATCTTCGCCAAGGCACAGCCGGTGATGGTGATGGATACCCGCGCATCGGGCGCGGCAGTCAACGGTCCGCTGCCGTTCCGCTCGCTGGTCAAGGTGGATGCCCCCGCCGAGCTGGCGCGCAGCGAGCACCGGGTCACGCCCGTCAGCCCCGCCAGCCCATGGGTGAATGCGAAGATCTACTATCTCGTTTCGCCGCGCACGGCGTCGGCGGCCGAGCATCTCGCCTCATCGTTCAAGGGCACGAAGCGGGCCACGCTGATCGGCGATACCACGGCCGGGGCTGGGCATTACGGCGGTGCGGTGAAGCTGGGCGGCGGCTATTCGGCCTTCATCCCCTTTGGCCACAGCTATTTTCCGGGCGACAAGGGCTGGGAGGGGACCGGCGTCACTCCCGATATCAAGGTCGCCCCGGAACGTGCGCTCGTCGAAGCGCTCACACGCGCGGGCGTCGCCCCCGCCGAGGCGGAGGCGCTCTCGGCCGAGTATATGCCGACCGGGTCGATGGCGCGCCGGACGCGCTGATACGGTTCCACCCGGCCATCGTCGCGATGACCGGGTGGACGCGGGCGCGGACCATCCGCCTCAGGCATAGGCGCCGGCCGCCTTGCCCTCATTGCGGAGCGCCAGGATCTGGAGCTCCGCGAACAGGGCCACCGCCAGCGCCTGCGCGGTGATGAAGGCGTAGCCGAATGCGTTGGGGCTGACGAAGAAGGCCATCGTCGCAAAGCTCGCAATCACCCAGGCGATGTTGATCGCGATCACCGCGACCACGCCGCCGCGCGCAGGCTTCACCGCCATCGCCAGCACCAGCGCGAGGAAGGGAACCAGCGCGAGGCCGGCGCCGCGGATCAGGGCTTCGGGCAGCCCCGTGAGGTCAGCGGTGAACCCTGCCGCGACGATGGCGAGCACGGCGGTGGCACCGGTGCCGGCGAAATCGACGATCATCGCCTGGCGGACATTGAGCGGAAAGCGGATCATGGCAGTTCTCCTTGGGCGGCATCCCTCGCCGCGGTGACTGCAACTTCGCCGCGGGCGCGAATCATTCCAATTACGTCGCAGGTAATGGGGCCGCTTAGGGGTGCGCGCGGGCATCCTTCCCTATCCACACGTTCCGCCGCACGCCCCCTTGCACCCCCTGCCGCAGCCGCTAAACGCCCGCGTTCACCCTAATTGGCACCTTATTTTGGAGCGGGACATGAGCGACTCGATTTCGGCCGAGCAGCTGCGCCTTCTGATCGAGCGGATCGAGCGGCTGGAAGAGGAAAAGAAGGGCATCAGCGACGACATCAAGGATGTCTATGCCGAAGCCAAGTCGACCGGCTTCGACGCCAAGACGATCCGCACCATCGTGCGCCTGCGCAAGATGGAGAAGCACCAGCTCGACGAGCAGACGCGCTTCTCGAGACCTATCGCAACGCGCTGGGCATGGTCTAATGCTTGTTCGGTTCAGCGGTCGCTGAACCGGGTTGCGGCACCGGCCCGCTCCCCCATCCGGCTACCCAGCGCCAGAATCCTATGGGTGGCCGGGTGGGGAGCGGGCGGTGCCGCGTCAGCAAAGCTGACACAGGCAAGGAATCTCATTCCATGATTCTGACCACCACCAGCACCGTCGATGGCCATTCGGTCACCCGCTATCACGGCATCGTGACGGCTGAGGTCATCATCGGCGCAACATCTTCCGCGATCTCTTCGCAGGCATTCGCGACATCGTCGGCGGCCGTTCGGGCAGCTACGAGCGCCCCTCAAGGAAGCGCGCAAGACCGCGCTCGAGAGCTCAAGGCCGAGGCGCTGGCGCTCGGCGCGAACGGCGTGATCGGATCGATTTCGATTACGAAGTGATCGGCAAGGGCGGTTCGATGCTGATGGTCTCCGCCTCCGGCACCGCGGTCTCGGTCAGCGGGGGGGCTGAGCCTGTACCATCCTCCGGCCTTGTACCGGGGTGACGGGTAGGCATTGCGCGCCGCCCCGCCTCTCGCCTAGAGACGCCGCCACACATTTTCGCAGAGACGACCCATGGCAGGCCATTCCAAATTCAAGAACATCATGCACCGCAAGGGCGCGCAGGATAAGAGCGCTCGGGCATGTTCTCCAAGCTCAGCCGCGAAATCACCGTCGCGGCCAAGATGGGCTTGCCCGATCCCGACATGAACCCGCGCCTGCGCGCCGCGATCAACGCGGCCAAGGCGCAGTCGATGCCCAAGGACAATATCGCACGCGCGATCGACAAGGCGAGCAAGGGCGAAGGCGAGAATTACGAGGAAATCCGCTACGAGGGCTTCGGCCCGGGCGGCGTCAGCCTGATCATCGAAGCGCTGTCGGACAACCGCAACCGCACCGCGACCAACGTCCGCACCGCGGTCAGCAAGAACGGCGGCAACCTCGGCGCTTCAGGCTCGGTCAGCCATGCCTTCGACCGCGTCGGCCTGATCAACTACCCGGCCAGCGCGGGCGATGCCGAGAAGGTGTTCGAAAGCCGCGCTTGAAGCGGGGGCCGAGGACGTGACGTCGAGCGAGGACGGCCACGAGATCTGGACTGCCAGCGCCGACCTGCACGAAGTCCCCAAGGCGCTCGAAGCCGTGCTGGGCGAGGCCGAGGGCGCCAAGCTCGCCTGGAAGCCGCAGACGATGGTCGAGGTGGGCGAGGAAGACGCCGCGACGCTGTTCAAGCTGATCGACGCGCTCGACGACGACGACGACGTCCAGACCGTATGGGGCAACTACGAAGTGTCCGACGCGGTGATGGAAAAGCTGGGCTGATCCGTTCCTCCCCGGAATGGGGAGGGGCCATGCGGCAGGCATGATGGAGGGCCTGAAGCAAACGGGCTCCTCCAGGAGCTGATGGGAGGTGCCGATGCGAACTTTGCTCCTGACCACACTCGCACTCATGCTGGCGGCGCCCGCGGCGGCTCCGGTCACTGCCGCACCTTCGCCCGCGCCGGCCAGCCAGTGCCGCGCGGGGGAGGCGGTCGTCTACACCTGCAACTTCGGCAAATCGGCGGGCAGCGTCGCTCCGGCGGCGGCAAGCTGCACTATCGCTATGGTCCTCCCGGCAACCCCGACATCGCCATCGCCAGCACCCCTGACTGGAGCAACGTCCGCCGCAAGGTCGTGGTCGGGGGCGGCGGCGGCTCGCAGCCCTATCTCCGCTTCACTCGCGCCGATTACAGCTATGTCGTCTTCTGGGGCACGGCGGGCAACCTGACCGAGCGGCCGGGCAGGCTGTGGTCGGGTATCCATGTCCGCCGCGGCGACAAGGATCTGGCGACGCTTTCGTGCAGGAGCGGCGCCCATCCCGTCGGCCGTATTCCCGACGCCG